ACCCCAGGTACCCCCCCCACACCCAGGAGGCACCAGTCACCGAGCTGGTGGTGGAGGAGGGGTCCCCTGGATGTTCCACGGAGGACCCAGAAGTGGACCAGGAGTGCTTCTGATCCACTTCCAGGTCTGCCGCTGAGTGTGCTGCCCCCCACCCCCGACCGTGTTCCCATGGGACACTTCATCCGCCCTAGCATCTCAGCATACATGAGCTGCCTGGTACCTTGAAGTATGTAGAAAAAACATTTAAAGCTGTGTATATGTCTGAATCATCGAAACTCCAAATCTCTCCAAATTGATTTGAAATGTTCCAATTCAATTCAGAGAGACAAAAGGGTCTCCTGATTCAATTCTGATTCAGAGATTCAGCCACTGAATTGGGCCTAATCACCGCTGAATCGAATCAGCGACTGAAGCTTCGCACAGCCCTACTGGACATATGAATTTAACCGTTAAATAGGTTTTCCAGTTCATTTGTGGTCTTAAACAGGCATTCATTTCTAGCAGTAGAAATTTCCAAGAAATTTCCATGAGTAGATATCTTTCTGGGAGAGGGAACAGTGCAGGTGTGCAGCCTGCAGCCTCCCCTTCTGCCCTTTTCTCCATGCCTTACATAGGTTGGAGTGATCCCAATCTAGGGAAGGCAAGGGGAACAGTGACTGTTCCACTCCTTCTCACTCCTTATATGAATAAAACACAGGTACAAGGAATTCCCTACTAGATTTGCTTTTAGCTCTAATAAATCATCCTATCAAAGAAAGACATTTTAAAAGAGTTTTTAATATTTTTCTTCAATTATTTTGTTTTGTTTTGGTTTTTTGCCACAAATGAAATCTTTATACTTTTGGTAAAATACTGGTTACATAGAGATCAACAAATGCTTGTCATTGACTGATGGGGCCAGGATTTCACTTAGTGCTTAGATTTTTTTGGTTGTGGTCAGTACAATAGATACTTCATAGTATGAGAAATAGACTTATGGTAACAATGGGTGTTGGGCTTAACAAAGGGCTAAAATAGAAATCAACCGAAAAAGAGGATATTGAGTACTATGTGATGCTCAATATATATTACATTAAATAACAAGTAAGTTAAAAAGAGAAGTTGGAATAATATTAGACAAAATCTGAAAAACAAAGTTCAATATGAGCTTGCGCTTAATTCTATTCTTATATATATGATCTAGCATATGGTTGGTTATTGGTATAATAAATATTTGGGGAAATTGTACTTTGTTATATTCCAGATTTACTTAGGGCAACTGAGACAGCAGGTCTTGGTGTCTGGCTTTGAGGAGATGGTAATCAGAATTAATGTGCATTTTTTGCTTGTGGGACTTGCCTATTATTTCAGGTCTAAGAAGACCAGCATATCAACTCAGGAGAGAAATGAGTCAGGGATAACAGAGTAGAAACAGATTGAATATTTTAACTAATTTGTTCTTTTTCTTTCCCAGTTTTAGTAAACAGAAATATGAATTCTTCTAAGCTTTCTGAACATGCTACATTTTTAGTGTCAATGATTAGAATGACTGAAAAGAAATAGATGTTTTATCCAGGCTGCAGTGATCAGCATTGTCATTGCCTTGAATTGTCTGTGGTGGTGATAAAAAATGAATAATCAGCATGTTATTTAAACCCAAGAGATTATGTTTTCTGCTATGTGACCTCAAGCATCATCCAGAAGGACCTGCTTTTGCTGAGTCGTAAAAAAAATGATATTAAACATTTAATTAAACAAAAGCCAGAACTCAGAGATATATAGTACATTATCTCTTCCTTTCATTTATGTGTATTCACTGTTTGTTTTAATTTCAAAAAGTAGAGATGGAAGATTCACTCATTTAAATATCTCACAAAAATTTCAAGTCACCTTGTCCCCAAGTTATATTATTTTCAACTGAATAAAAAGTTAGTAGTGATGATTATTGCATTATGCTCAGAGGATGAAGAAATATTTTAAAAAATAATTCCACCTGACTTTTTTTTTTTTTGGCTTAGGCAGTATTCTTTCAGGACAAAAGGAACTAAAGATAATCTATACTTTAGTTTTCTTTCTGAATTCATTCTTTCATGAGCATAAACTTAATCTCTGGTGTTGAAGTTAATGTTTGGCATGCATTACTGACTTTTAGTTAGTAATTAATTATGCTGATTATTTTTTCTAATGAAGAATTGATATCACCCATTAATAAGTGTGAGAGTATGAATATTTATATGAAATAAACAGGTAATAGATTTCAGAACTTTTGCAAATAAATTTTGTTTCTCAGTATTTGATCTCGCTTTCTTTCTCTTTCTTCTAGTCTGCTCCCAGTTTTCAAGAGGAGTCTTTGCTATTTTTGGATTCTATGACAAGAAGTCTGTAAATACCATAACCTCATTTTGTGGGACTCTTCACGTCTCCTTCATAACTCCAAGTTTCCCAACAGATGGAACACACCCATTTGTCATTCAGATGAGACCCGACCTCAAGGGAGCTCTTCTTAGTTTGATTGAATACTATCAGTGGAACAAGTTTGCATATTTATATGACAGTGACAGAGGTAAGATACAGCAGAAACTTTTCAGTATAATTTTTTGCTATACTTATATTACCAAAATGCTCAGGCAGTATTACAAGGCAAACAAGGAGCATCCTTTTCAAAAATTAAATATCAATTTTGACAAAAAGAAGCTTATCTGATTGTTGTATGTAGTCAAAGTGAAAAGAAGCTTAACCGAGAATGAAATAATTCCAATATAAGTTAAAGAATTAAGGAAGTGCACTGATAAGCATAGATGGAAGATAAAGTATGTCTTTGGAAAATTGTTCCCATAAAAAGGCTCTTTAAAAATAGACATATTGTAGAGGGGAAAATATATCTTCACATTTTTAGCATCTCTGTCTCTCACTCTTTAATTTAGAGCATCCATAAATTCCCACACACAGGTTCTGAGTCACCTGCCAGTTATTTGGGCTAGGGACAGATGTTACACATAAACCAGTTAAGTCATCAGAAACAGGTTTAAATCTGTAACAGAACAGAAGCTCAGTACATAGAAACCAGTTTCAAAATGGCTGAAACTGGTTTAAGATAACCCTGGTTCAATGTAGGTTTAAATCAGACTTGAATAATTTGGGTCAAACTGGTTTATGAAATTTCTGTCCAAGACCCCTTCCTGGTTCAAGTTAAATTAGTGTCCCCCAGCATCCCAGCATGCTTTGCAACCCTGTTCTGGGCTGTCTGCTCCAGCAGAGAAACTGTGGGGATGGGGGGAGGCAGGGACTGCCCCCTCAACAAGGCAAACCCTGGGTGGGTTCTGGGGCCAGAGAGGTGAGTTAAACCCACCTTCCCCCAGTACAGAGCTGCCCTGCTACTGAACTTACTGAAAATTACTACTGGCTGTGACTGTGGACTGCAAATCCCAGAGGTACCTGGAAGCAGGAAGAGAAAGTGATGAGCAACTCTGCAGAGTCCTGCTGCTGTTATTCTGGACTGCAAATTTCAGAGACCTCAGGGGCAGCAGGAAGAGGAAGTAAACACACACATGCTGGCTATGTGCCAGAAAGCCATGCTTTAGCACCCCCAGCTTCTGGGCTGAGCCATTGCAGGCATGTGGCTGTATTTCCTGAAACAAAAGTAAATGTGTGTCCAATTGCTTCTCAACTTAATCTCTGCAGTTTAGACTAACCTGCAAAGACTGATCAATTCAGCCTTGGGCTTTTTGACTGTCTGTACTTAACCTGAAAGTTACAGACTCAAAAGCAAACTTCAAATATATATTTTTCTACCAAAGAGCACATCCAAATTCAAGCACTAAAACAAACTAGTTTAGTCACCTCCATCTCTTCTCACTGTAATCCTCATGTCCTTTTCTGCAGAGCTGCTGCCTATCCAGCCAGCCCCACGCCTGTACTGGTGCATGGGATTGTTCCATCCTAAGTGCAGGACTTTGCACTTGTCCTTGTTGAACCTCATGAGATTCCTTTTGGCCCAATCCTCCAATTTGTTGACTTCTATCTGAATCCTAGCTCTACCCTCCCGCATATCTACTACTCCCCCCAGCTTTGTGTCATCTGCAAACATGCTAAGGGTGCACTCTATACCATCTTCCAAGTTGTTGTTGAAGACATTGAGTAAAATCACCTCCAGGACTGGCTGCTGGGGCACTCCACTTGATACCAGCTGCCAACTAGACCTCGAGCCATTGATTACTACTCTCTAAGCCTGATGCTTCAGCCAGTTTTCTGTCTACCTTACAGTCCATTCATCAAGCTCATACTTCCTTAGTTTGCCTGCAACAATGTTGTGGGATACCATATCCAAAGTTTTGGTGAAATCAAGGTATGCCACATCCACCTGTCTCCCCATATCCACAGAGTCATTCATCTCATCATAGAAGGCAATCAGGTTGGTCAGGCATGACGCACCCCTGGTGAATCCATGCTGACTGTTCCTAATCACCTTCTTCTCCTCCAAATGCTTAGGAATGGATTCCTTTAGGATCTGCTCCATAACTTTTCCAGGGACTGAGGTGAGGCTGACTGGTCTATAGTTTCCTGGATCCTTCTTTTTCCTTTTCTTAAATAAGGGCACTATGTTTGCCCTTTTCCAATCATCCAGGGCCTCTCATGATCACCAGGAGTTTTCAAAGATGATGGCCAGTGGCTCTGCAAGCACATCAGCCAACTCCCTCAACACGCTCAGTTGCATCTCATCCAGTCCCATGGACTTCCCTAACCTGTTCTTTCATCACTGAGGGCTGCTCACCTCCTTCCCAAACTGTGTTGTCTGGTACAGTAGTCTGGGAGCTGACCATGCCTGTGAAGATGGAAGCAAAAAGGCATTGAGCACTTCAGCCTTTTCTGCAAACTCCATCACAAGGCTGCCTTTCCCATTCAGTAAGGGACCTACACTTACCCTGATCCTCCTTTTGCTACCAACATACTTGTAGAAACCCTTCTTGTTACCTTTCACATCCCTTGCTAGCTGCAACTCCAGTTGTGCTTTGGCCTTCCGGACTTCATCCCTGCATGCCCATGAAATGCTCTTATATTCTTCCCTAGTTCTTTGTCCAAGTTTCTTATAAGCATTTCCATTGGGATGGTTTGTTCCTGCACTCTCAGTAAGGCTTCTTTAAAGTACAGCCAGCTCTCCTGGATTCCTCTTCCCCTCGGTCTGGCTTCCCAGGGAATCCTGCCCATGAGTCCCCTGAGCAAGTCAAAGTCTCATTTTCTGAAGTCCAGGGTCCTTACTCTGCTGCTCTCCATCCTTTCTTTCCTCAAGATCCTGAACTCAATAATCTTGTGGTCACTGCTGCCCAAGTTGCCATCCACTACTACATACCCCACCAATTCTTCCCTGTTTGTGAGAAGCAGGTCAAGAAGAGCATGGCCCCTAGTTGGCTGCTCCAGTACTTGCACCAGAAAATTGTCCCCAACACTCTCCAAAAACTTCCTGGATTGTTTCTGCACTGCAGTATTGCCCTCCCAGGAGATGTCAGGGTTATTGAAGTCCCCCATGAGAACCAAGGTCTGTGATTGGGAAACTCCCACTAGCTGTTTGAAGAAAGCCTCATCCACCACTTCCCCATGGTTTGGTGTTTTGTAGAAGACCCCCACTATGACATCACCCTTGTTTCTCTCCCTTCTGGCCCTAACCCAGAGACCATCAACAGGCCTATCTCCAGTTTCATACTGGAGCTCTGAGCTATCATATGGCTCTTTTACATAAAGTGCAATGTCCCATCTTCTCCCTTGCCTGTCCTTCCTGAACACTTTGTACCTCTCCATGACAATGCTCCAGTCACACAAGCTATCCAACCAAGTCTCTGTCATTCCAATCATGTCATAGTTCCTGGACTGTGCAAGGGCTTCCAATTCTTCCTGCTTCTTTCCCAGGCTCTGTGAATTTGTGTACAGGCACTTGAGGTAACTAGGGGATTGCCCTGATTTGTCAGGAAGTATGAGAACCACTCCCCTGTTGCCCCCTCCTGCTTGCTCTTCCTCCTAGTCACACACTTCCCCAGGGCTTTGGTGTCCATCCCCCAGTGAACCTAATTTAAAGCCCTCCTTGTTAGGTTAGTGAGCCTATCTGTGAAGACACTCTGCCCTGTCTTTGTCAGATGGATCCCATCTCTTCCCATCTTTCCTTCTTCTTGGAAGAACATCCCATGGTTGAAGAAAACAAAGCTCTGCTGTTGACACCACCTGTGCAGCCAGGTGCTGATCTGCCAGATGCACCTGCTCTTGCCCAGGCCCTTTCCCTGGACCAGAAGGATTGGTAAGAACACAATCTGAGCCTCAAACTCCTTCACCCTTGCACCCAGAGTCCTATAGTCACTTTTGATATGCTGAGGGTCTCTCCTGGCAGTATCATGGATGAGCAGCATGAGGGCCAGATGAACCTTGGTAGTCCCTCTGTGACATCTTGGATCTGGGCTCTGGGCAAGTAGCAGATTTCTTGAGACAACACATCAGGTAAGAAGATGGTTTCCTCTGTCCCCCGCAGAAGGTAGTCTCCAACCACCACCACCACCACCTATTGTTTCTTCTTGGTGGCCGTCATCTCAATCCTTCCCACCTTGGTGAGACCTGTCCTTTCATCTTCCACCAATGGACCATGCTGCTCCCTTTCTGCTGCTAGGGCTGCATATGTGTTCTCCAGATGAACAACTACAGGTGAAGGTGAAGATCTCTGCTTGCTGCCAGAACTGACAAGCTGGCAGCTTTCACCCCCTTGGGTGTCCATGTCCTCTCTCTTTTTTTGCACTGCATCAGGCATTTCTTCCTCCACAGTCCTGGAGGTCTCCTCCAGCATTGAATCAATGAGCTCCTCATGGTGGAGAATGCTTCAGAGCCTCACCACCTCCTCCTGTAGTTTTCCTGCCTGTTCCCTGAGAGACACCACAAGGATGCACTGCTCACACCACAGGCATTCCCTGACCTCACCATTACTGGAAGGAACCTGCAAGCTGCAGTCCCCACAGCACCACACCTGGACCTGGGTGGAAGTGCCAATGGTCAGAAATCTTGCCTGGACAGAAACATCACAGGGGCAAGAAGAGGCAGTGGCAGTGGCTCTGACATTGCAACGTCCTCCAGTCATTTCCCTGGGTTTCTTAATTTGCCTTCTCTCTCATACTGCTCTTCTTCTAAGTACTCCTTCCCTAGCAAACTCATCTGGAAGCTGACCTGTTTATTGCTCGTTGGCTACGAGGGGCTCCTTTTCTTCCTGTTTCCTCATGCTAAGCTGAAAGATTTCCCCCTCAAAAAAACAGGGTGGGGCATGAACTGAACCAGACTGCGAACTGCCTGCAAACTGCTTATTCTGTTTGCAGCCCCTGTTCACTGGCTCCCTGATCACTGGCACCAGGGCTTAAAGGGCTTAAAAGGGCTCCAGGGCTTAAAAGGACCCCAGTTTCTAATTATTTTATTTCTTATTAATCATTTTCAAAATAATTTATCTTGCCATCTAAACTAATTCAATTTCTTTCAAAACAATTGCACATGGCTTTCCAGCATAGTTATTGGTAAAAAATGTTGCCTACCTTTAAATAAATGTAGGGTAAATTTAGCAAGATGTCATGAAGTTTTAACAGTGGGTTATATTTTGCCATGTTAAACCAGGTTTCATGATGAAATACAGTGAGCTTTGTCTTCATTTGTCTTTAGATGCTACTACATTCCATTGTCTGGATGCTTTATATAATCACAAAAATCAAAAGAGACCTGTTCCAACTAGGTTTCCTTTGTTGTTTTAAGCCTCGATATTAGATAATCCATATAACCCCTAAAGAAGACTTGATGTTACCCAGTATGCTGAATCCTGGGCTTGGTTCTCTTCCAGGTCCTCTTTGAGTTCACGTGAGAATCAGACACTCTTTGTCTTTTAGAGAGGGCAACTAGGAAGTTGCTTATTTGATGTTCCATCAATCAGCTAGCATTGTACTGTATGTGCCATTACCCTGCATTTGATTCTTATTTAGAAAAAATCTTCAAATCATCTGTGTCTACAATACATCTTCCTGTCAGCTGCAGTGAACCTGAACACACATAATAAAGTGAAAGAGTTGTATCTTGTAGCTTTGGTTTTGCCAGTTTTGTTTGCTTTAATTTTTGTGAGGCACCCAATTGGTGAAGTTGATAGGCAACATTTGTAAATCTCTAGGGACATGAATCTGCAATTCTCACTCACACTGAGTAATACTTTAATCCTGGAGAACCCACGTTGGCTTCCTGCAGTTGAGTACTGTGCAGTGTCAATAAGGATATGGCTATACACTGCAAGGTAGAAATATCCAAGATTGCTCTGAGTGCACCACCTCTGGAACTGGAAAAAGCAGAACAGTGTTCGTGGGGTGCTGTGCCTGAGCTAACATACTCTGCAGAGAAATGCAGCTGCACTGCTTCTAGTTCCAGATTCAGTCCTTGCAGAGCTAGTGTGGCATGTCTGCTGGTTGTATAGATAGGTAATAAGGTAATACAATTGCACCCTATATAAGTAGCTTCCAATTCGCAGCTCAAAACACCTTTATCTCAACACTTAACCAACAGCAGTGAAATGTATGTAAAGAAGAATATATGATTCAGCATGTTGTTTTAAACTTTTCTTTGGAGGAAGAGAGAGAGGAGAGAGAGTGCATGAGAGAGACTTATTCTCTTGGGAGAGAACAGTAATAAAATGGAAACAGTTAAAGCTAATAGCCATTAATGTATGATGAATTACTCCAGAAGAGTCATTTTACTACTACAGCTCCTGTGCCTTAGTGTACTGATCTTGCAAGGTGCTGACCATTCATATGTCTCATTCCGGTCACTCAGAGGTGAGGATGTTCACTCCTTGCAGAATCAGCCCACTGCTTAGTCCAGCACTTGTTCTCAGATTTATTATAATGTGGGCTTCAGACTTTTTGTATTTCTATAGCCTTATTTGCATTGTCTCTATACACAGCGGGTGGCATCTAGGTTTATGATTAATTGTGGAGGGGAGGGTGACAGTGGTAGAGGATTCAATTTGCAGCCAAATTACTAATTCTGAAGGAAAATGCCAACCAGACATTTTATGAAATTGTCTCCATTAAGTCTTTCTCTTCAAAGCTCTTTCCTTTTCCTCTTAAATAGCTTTAGTTTGGAATCTTCTGGTGCGCTACAACTACTGTTGCATGTATTTTCTGAGCTACAAAGGTCCACTCCTAGCACCAGGGTACAATTACACATTACTGTTAGACCAGGTTAAGAACACCTAAAACTTGAATGATCTCACATTCAGGGTCATTAACAAAAGCTAAGTGCCTGCTAGGTATCTGAAAGCTGTACCACTTTGTGTGAGGATTTTTTTCAGTTGTCCTATGCATTTTGAGTTAAGTTAACTTCTGGCTCTTCACCTGAAATAAAACCATGAATTTGTGGTCTTCTAGTACCCCAGGTAGAGTGGCCCTCATAGAGGACGGTCCAGTTGTCCTCTATCCTCTATTGATACAAAACCAGATGTGTTTATGTCCTATTTTTCTCTTGAAGAGAAAAATAGAGGACATCACAGCATCGGGTTTTGTATCAATACAGGACAGAATAGCAGAAAACCAGAATGTCCTCTATGATGGGCACCCTAACTCCAGGAGGCACTTCTCCCAGGTAGACTATCTATCATCTAGCACTTTATGGCCCTGAACTGACAGCTGTGGACAGCTGGGGAGGGGAGGGAGGGAAGGGAAGCCAGGGGTACAGGATATGGGGGAGCAGAAGTGGAGTGGGAAAGAGGGAGGGGCAGAGGCAGAGGGGAACATCTAGGCTAGGAGCTGCCCCTTTCTTCCCCCACTGTCCTCTACCACCTCTACACCACACCTCTGATGATCAAACCCCCCTTCTTCCCTCCTTGATCACTGCCATGATCAGCCTGAGAGTAGCGGCAGCAGCAGCAGTTGGTTTCCCCCTCCCTAATTGCTCCCAGGCTCCCTGCAGCCCATATCACCCTATGTGCCTGGATCCAGGCCATTCCATGTCCTGTGGCTGAAAGTGGGGAGGCGGGAAGAGAGAGGCAGGAGGAAAGGAGCTGCCAAGCAACTTCAGGGCTCAGTGTGGACTGGATCCTGGTGTATGGGCATGGCACAGGTTGCAGGAAGCTAAGAAGCAGACAGGGAGAGAAACCCTAGCCACTGCTACCACTACTGCTCTCTGGCTGATCTGGAAGCAGGGCAGTGATTCTGGGGTGGAGGGTGCAATGATGGGGTACAAGGAGTAACCTTGGGGGAGTGGAAGATTGATTTGGGGGGAATGGGGTGATTGGGGCAGTTGGAGATGAGGAAGCAATCAAAGCAGCATGGGGGGTTGGGGGGTAGCTCCTTCCTTCATCTTTCTGGGCCTATACTGTGGCTAGAGAACCAGAAAGCAGGGCAGGCATGGAACAGTTTTGCAGCTCCTAATCAAACCCTGCTCACCAGCTCTCTAGCAGGAGGTCTGAACAGTACATGTTAGAGAGGTTATTAACTGTTAACCTGCTACTGCTCATAGCACATTCTAACTTTCTGAATCTTTTTTGCTTACAGGAACTACCTTTTTCTTTGGTAACACTCTTTTTCATCCTTGTACTGTAACATGTCATAAATAATTTAGATTATCAACTGGAATTTAGTTTTTTCTATTTTAAAAAAATGTAACATCCATCAAAATACAAGTGATCACATGTAGACTCTGCATACAACTGTTTGACAGAATTGTATAGGTTTGTGAAATCTGCCATGTCCTTATATTGCTGGTTACCAGTCTTTTATAACATTACATAACATTACCATTTTTACAGATAAGATTAAATTGCTAAGTGCATACTAGTCTCAGTTTAATTATCCATTTACAAATTATAATTCAAGTTTCATTCTTAGTGTGTTTCTTATAAAATTATGCACATAGCTCCTGTTATTTTAAGTTATGCATGAAGCTTCCTTTATATTTGAGAGAGATATTTTTCTTAACGAAAATGTAAAGCTCAATTTATTGACACAAATCAGAAATGACTAGTTATATTTTACAGTTTCAAGTGAGATGAATGATGTAGAGTTATCAGTGATTGTGTGGACAAATATCTTGGAATATTACATTCTCTTTTTAATCTTTTTCTTAGGATTCTCTGGACAGAATTTAGACATGATAACTCTCATTGTTGGAAATTGCTGGAAATTGTTGAAGACGTATTTTTTTATATGGCAGATATACTCCTGGCACTGAATCATGTTTCCATATTCTGTTCACATTTACTTCCTGAATGGGGAAAGAAGCCCAGTAAAATTTCCACTGGACTTGGATTGTATTATGATCTACTACAGTTGTACAGGCATTCATTTCTCCATGTCCTCCCAAAAGAATAAAATGGCAACAAACTGCTGTTATGGTTGCATGTATGGATGTTAAGGATATTTAGGTTTAGGAAGAAACACCTTCTGTAACAAGATACTGTTGGAGTCAAAAGAAATCGAGGCTCAATTAGTACATGGGAATTTTGCTATTGACTTCATCAGGACTGGATCAAGTTTTAAATACATTGCTACTCAAGTACCAGGGACATAAACAGCTCAATAGCATTTGGTAATAAACAACTGATTCTGTTACTGTAATTAGATCATTTTCTCTTAAACAGCCTCTTTTTCAAAGTAGGTACCTCAAAAATCCATTGAAAGCTTTTATTGAAGGGTGATATAATCTCTTCCTGAATCAAATTGAAGCAAAAACAAAAGATTGTCATTATAGGCCCCAAGTCTATATTCACTGCAGTTACTTAAACAGAAGTTTTGCATGTGCCAGGAATGCAAAATGAGACTTGTGTTCATCATCATCTTAGGGAGTTCTATCCTACAGCTGTTTGATAGCCAAACATATTGTCATGAAGAGTTTAAAATAAATTGCCTTGTAGGTCACATTTCATGTGCCTGTGTTATTTTTGCCACTTTATCATTCCTCTTCTTTTGCCTTGCTAGGCTTATCAACCCTGCAAGCTGTACTGGATTCTGCAGCTGAAAAGAAATGGCAAGTAACTGCTATCAATGTAGGAAATATTAACAATGACAGAAAAGATGAGACTTACCGTTCCCTGTTTCAAGATCTGGAGGTGAAAAAGGAAAGACGAGTGATTCTGGACTGTGAGAGGGATAAAGTCAATGACATAGTTGATCAGGTTTGTTATTCTTGAGTTTTCAATGTCAACAGATACGGAAGATGGCTAAGCTGCATAAGTAGAATAGACTGCTCATATGGTTCTATTTTACTAGCAGTTTTTATTTTTGTATGATGAACCTATTTTGGTGATCCTTTACCTTATCCTTTACATCATTTAGTAATAAAACATTTGTTCTAAAATATATAGTACTGGAAGGGACCTAAAGACATCATTTGGTTCATTCCCTGTACTGATGGAGGATGAGCATATGTAGACTATAGTTTTTCTAACCTATTTTTAAAGACCTCCAGTGAAGGAGATTCCATGGCTTCTCTAGACATGGAAGAGAATAAGTGATCTATCATGTTTCATATATCAATTTTGACATATTGTGAGCCTTGCTGGGTAGAATTCTAGTCCATGCTGTGCACTGAAACAGAAGCTTTCCAGCTGGGCACTGAGGTACAGTTTGTGATTCTCTTAATCTCTATTACCCATGCAGTATGAGTGTGTAAGTGTTAACATATGTTCTGGTTGGGCAGCTACATGTACAGAAGTAGCAACACTTTAGCTGAACAAGAAACTTTGACTAGTGACTGGGGAAGAGAGGAGGAAGGGTCTTGTATGCTTTAGCCCCAATACAGGTTTCCCTCGCTTTATGCTGTACATGTGTTCCTGGAAAATGGCATTTAACTTGAATTCGCATAAAGGGAACCCACTTTACAATGTAACAAATAGGGATACTTTCCAAGACTTCAAGTGTACTGAACTCCAGATCTATTTCTACCACTTTTACAAGATAATTTTGGTACTCACCAACAACACACAAGCACAGGGCATTATCACAATGGGTAAGGCAACTACAGAAACATGTTGCAAACGAGCGAGGAGCACAGATCCACATAGGAAACTATATTTTGGTGAGTGTCACTCCCACAATGCACCGCACAAAGCAGCCTCTGTGGGCTTCCAATACATCGATTGCATAAGAGTGAATTTACCTCACATATAACGAATTTTTGGTATAAAAAAGATCATTGCATAAGAGCGAATTTGCACATACAGGACCTGCATAAAGTGAGGGAAACCTGTATCTGAGTAACTTGGGCACCCAGATTCTAGGACTCCCCTGCCCTGTAGGGATTTTAACCTGAATTCTAAAACTTCTTAGTATAGTTCTTTAACCACCAGGCTGCAGGTTAGGTATTATGCAGACCCTTTGACAGCACTTTCTGAAGCTGGCTCAACTGGCAGCCATGAGAGGAGATATATAAAGCGAGGAAGAAGAGCAGAAGCTAGAATGTGTGGCTGGAAACAGACATTGTCTTTGCAGCATGATCAACTGTGCCACAGTGTGTCATGGCACAGCTGATCTGCCATGTCTACAGCTATTGCTGGGACTATTGTTCTGCAGGATTGGGCTCCTGCCCCTCCTGGGGCTTCAGGGGCCTGATCCTGTGGGAACACAGCCCTGCTGGAAGACACGTACTCCATATTGAGGTGAGGCACCTGTGGCCATTGTCTCACAGGATAGGCCTCTTGAAACCATGGAAGCTTTTGCCTGGGGTGGCTAGAGAGTGCAGGCAGCCACAGTCTGCCCTCACTGTCCCATCACAAATGAACAAACATCTGCAGCAAAAAAAGTGACACAAGTTAGGACTAGGCTCATGTCTGTCACAAAATGTAAGCATTAGTGCAGCAAGAAAGAGCCAAGACATCTGTTTGCTCAGATTTATACAGCCATAAACTTTTTTACTGTGGTACAAATCAACATCTGTTTGCATCCTGTGTGACTGAAATGGTTATTGCTCTTAAAAAATGGGGGGGAGGGATCTGGGTTCTACCCTTGCTTCCAATGGGGCAATTTTTTTACTGCTCTCTATCCACTTAATCCAATAACTATTAAATGTGAGGTGCAATGGCTCAGTTTCAAAAACAGCTTTGGTGAGGGGGAATGCCTAATTTGTGGTGGCTAGAATACAGTAATGGGAAGTAGAAAAATGAAAGTTCAGTCTCTCTCTGGGTGAAGGGGCCCTAGAACATGGATTGCTTGTTTCCTGGGTAAGTGCCCACACCACTTAGTTGTTGGGGTTAGTCCTTTCTTCCTATTTTTTTTCCCAGGACTTACCCACTGGCATGCATGTATGTATTTCCCTGGCCAGTATATAACCTACTACACAAGTTCGTTGTATACATGTATGCTTATGAGTCCATACTGCAGGTGTGTTAAAATAGCAAACTGTGTAAGTGCCAAAAATACCACTTACACAGCTGGATAAGATGCACGAAGGGTAATAGAATTCCTCTCATCAAATTTCTTATTCTATTTATACCTCTTAGGATTCTGGTTGCTTCCCTACTTAGATTCTCTCCAATTTTTCTTTGTTCCTTAATATGTTTTGTCAAAAACTAGACATACTTCTCTACAGTTTAGGGCTTGCCACAAGTAGAATAACATAATTACCTCCCATGTTTTATGTACATCACTGTTTATATACTCCAGCATTAGATTTTCCATATTTTTTGGAAGGACAGCACACTGATGACTCATGATTAGTTTGTGTTCCCCACCCCCACCCCCGGTCCTTGTCTGCTGTGTTGCTACCTTACCAGTGTTTTATCATTTGGAGTGCTTTGTTTTTCCTTTCCATAGTGGTTTGCCTCTGTACTTGCCTCCATTCAATTCCATCTTGTAGAATTTCATTTCTTCAACTTATCAAGATTTTCTTTATTTTGATCCCATCCTCCAAAGTAGTTGGGCCTGTCCTAGAATCATGTTACGTTCCATCTTTATAAGTTTACTTACTATTCCTAATTGTTAATGAACAGAATCATACCCAAGCACATACATCAGGAAGACCCTCATTGAAATGCCCTCTTATTTTGACAATGAACCACTGATAACTGTCTGAATGCAGTTTTTCAAATGATTTTCAAGTAGATCAAAGTATCTTGCATCCATCTTGTGATAGTCTAGACCAGGGGTTTTCAACCATTTTAAAGTAGTGTACCCCTTCGGGTGGCAGTGTCCAGATGTTGGGCAGGGTGCGGGGGGGCTTGCACCCAATGGCCACTGCTACCATCCACTGCCCCGTGCCTCCACCACTGCTCTCCACTTTCCCACAGCTGGTCACATGTGCAGCTCTGCAGGCTGCTGACAGGCCTCACACCTGGCCAATTGGGCACTGCCCATTAGCAGCCCATGGAGCAGCACATGTGACTGGCCATGGGAAAATGGCACCCGGTGGCATTGATGGGTGGCAGTGGCAACGCGGTGGGAGGTGGTAGTGGCTGCCATGTGCAAGCTCCCCCGCCCCCCACTCTGGCCAACTGGGTGGCACCTGTGCAGCCCACAAAGGGGCGCTGCTGCCTTCGCCCCGCTCCCCCCAGCCCTGCTTCTGGGAGGCGGTGGTGTGGGTTGGTGGGTGGTGGTGCTCCCCCCTAGGACCTTTCCAAGTACCCCTAGTTGACAACCGCTGGTCTAGACCATCTATTTTTTGATTTACATATGAGAAAAATACATTGTCCTATGTGACAATGTCAAGGCTTACTATAGTCAAGATATATCATATTTAATGTTTTCCCCTTTTCTACTAGTCCATATTAGAATCATCCCATAAAGAAGTTTCTATCATTTGTTCCTGATAAATCCATATTGGCTGGTTATCACTTTATTACCCTTTAGATGCTTAGAAATGGTTTGTTTAATAATTTTTTCTAGCATCTTTTCAGGTTTCAGAATTAAGGTTTACTTGTATATAACCCCCTGGGTCCTTGTTTTATGTACTATATTTTCATTTCTTCAGGCCCCTGGGATGTCACTTATCCTCCATAATTTCTTGAAGATAACTGCTAGTGGTTCCAAGATTGTTTCCTTAAGTACTCTAGGGTGATTTTAATCAGAGCCTGCTGACTTGAATACATATAAGTTCACTAAATATATTTTAGCCTGTAAAATCCTACTATGACCTGAGATGTTAGGCCCTCAGTAAAATTAAATACGCTAAATATCTGATTGCAATTAACCATTTTTTTGAAGTACCAATATAATCTTTTATAATTTCTTTTTATTCTCTTTGCTTTCAAACTCAGGAATTTTAGCTTGGTTTTCAGTTTTGTCTTTCTGATTTTATCCTTTCATGCTTGTGCTATTATGTTATATTCCCCCCGTGTTGGGTGTCCATGTTTTCACTTTCTGCGTTATCACTTTTCCATTATTCAGCTCATTTCAGACATCACTTGTACCTTAGACTACAGACAAAGGGGTCTTACAAAGTATCAGCTGCTCCATAGTAATTGTTTTGTGTATCTGCTTCTATATCACTGTAAATTTTAGTGAAGCAGCTAACACATGATAAGTCCTCCTTCATTGTTCATCTCTTCTTAACTTTACTAAAGGTATGAAAAGACGAACAACCTATTCCAAGATAAAGGTTCATCTCTTCATAGCTCTAACATGCTTCTTATCTTTATTTTACAATCTGAATTGTTTGATTTAATACCTTTGACAGTGACTCTTTCAGTAACTGTCAGTTCTGTAAGTTCTGCACTCTTCTATAAGATTATTTGTCACAGAGAGATGTAGCCAACTGGGTCCCTGAGTTTGCTGAAGTTTTCTTTTCTGAAGTCTGCTATTTTTATTCTGCTGCTCTTACTCCTTCCTTTCCTTGAAATAGTGAACTCTTTCATTTCATGATCATTCACACCCAATTACTTTCCACTTTCAGATTTTCAACCAGATCATCCGTATTAGTCAGAAATCTAAAATAGCTGCTTCCCTAGTACTTCCCTCCACCTTTTGAAACAAAATGTCCTCAACACATTTCACACAGTTGTACTGTCAATGTCCTCCTTTTCCAATAGTGAACCAATACATTCAAGCCCCCATTTCCACCAGATTTGGAGGCTTCTCTCAAAAAAGACTCCATCTGCTTCTTTCTCCTGATTATAGACACCCATCTGAGATGGCCACTATTCTTTTCTGCTTTTGTATTTACCCAGAAACATTGAACAAATCT